ATATATATATATATATATATATATATATATATATATATATATATATATATATATATATATATATATATGTATGTATATATATATATATATATATATATATATATATATATATATATATATATATATATATATATATATATATATATATATATATATATATATATATATATATATATATACATGTGTATGTATATGTATATAGATGTATATAATGCAAATTTATATATATATATAATATACATATGTATATATATATACATATATATGAATACACATATATATGTACATATAAATAAATAAATATATATAATATATATATATATATATATATATATATATATATTATTATGTATATATATATATATATATATAATATAATATTAATATATATAATATAATATATATATATATATATATATATATATATATATATATATATATATATATATATATATATATATATATATATATATATATATATATACTATATATATACGCATATATATTTTTTTTATACGCATGAATGAAAAATCCGAAAGGGAAAACTGCGGCAACCTTCGAATACTTTGGAGTGGGAAACGTCAGGGAGGAGAGGGAAGGCAGCGAGAGGGGGAGGCGGGAGGGAAAGGTGACCGATATAAAAGCTGACACATTACAATTCATCAACAAGTTGGTAAGCGGCTTCACCTCAGCTAACATCGCCATGGTGAGAACAGTTCATGAAGAGACGGTCTCTGTTTCCTTTTTCTTTTGCATTTTCGCAGCCGCTAATGAGCTGAACTGACGCAGCAGAGATTTTAAAATTTCAGCGCGAGTTTGATCCTGATATTGTTTCTTCCAGAAAACTGCTCTGATTGCCGTGTTGGCGGCCACCCTGGCGGTCGCCAGCTGGGCTGCTCCGGAGGCCAGCGGAGGCTATGGCTCTGGTGGAGGTGGAGGAGGCTCCTTCGGTGGGAGGAGGTCATGGCATCGGTGGGGGTGCAGGAGGCTCCTTCGGTGGAGGAGGAGCAGGGGATATGGAGGAAGAGGAGGACTTGGCTCCGGAGGGGAACTGCGACCATCAACTTCAATCTTGGAGCACCTAAAGGGCGTCTGGCGGAGGCCTCGGAAAGGCGGATCCAGCGAGGATTTGGCGGAGGCTTCGGAGGTGGAGGTCGAGGTTTCTCGGAGGTGGTTCAGTTAGGCGGTTCGTGGTTTCCAGTGGAGGTTCCAGTGGATTCGGAAGGAGGCTTCGGAGGTGGACACGGAGGCGGTTCCTGGCGGAGGCTTCGGAGGTGGTTCCTCAGGTGGATACAGTGGTGGTTCCAGTGGAGCTTCGGAGGAGGCTTCGGAGGGACACGGAGGCGGTTCCAGTGGAGGATTTGGCGGAGGCTTCGGAGGTGGTTCCTCAGGTGGATACAGTGGTGGTTCCAGTGGAAGCTTCGGAGGTGGTTCCGGTGGAGGCTTCGGAGGTGGACACGGAGGCGGTTCCAGTGGAGGATTTGGCGGAGGCTTCGGAGGTGGTTCCTCAGGTGGATACAGCGGTGGTTCCAGTGGAGGCTTGGAGGCGGTTCAGTGGAAGCTTCGGAGGGGGACATGGAGGCGGTTCCAGTGGGGGCTCCGGCGGTAGCTCAGTGGGAGGAGGATACGGCAAATGAAGAAGGCTTCCCTTTCCAGGCGAAAGCGTGTCTCGATTGTCAGCATTTATAGATTAAACAATACAATAATCCGTAAGTTTTTTGATAAAAATAAAATAAATAAAAAATAATAATTTCGGAAAATACAGATTTTTCTTTTTCAAAGCTATGTTTTGTAGAACATGCTTGTGTTCATGAACCTTTGCTTCTTCCGTGAAATCCGCGACGAGCAAGGAAGACCAGCTGCTCTGATCCAGTTGTGGAACCTGGAAACCCGGTGGAACGGTGGAGGTGCCACTTCATTCCTCCCCAAGGGAGAATGAAATGAGCAGGGAATAGAAGGCATGCACACGTACCTGTTCATGAACTCAGGGGTGTAAATAACTATATATGTACATATTTCCGTGTGTGTGTGTGTGTGTGTGTGTGTGTGCCTGTATGCACACTTGTAGCTGCATTATATCCTCACCAAGGCTTCAGTGTAGGTGCAAGTCAGCCCATAGACTCGTTATATCAGAATACAAATGAAATATTAGTTGCTTTTAACAGAGATCTCGTGTTCAACCACACTCCGCTGGTCAGCATCTGATAGGCGACGTGTTTTTACTATATTCGATGACATTTATCTCAAGTTTGGGTTATTATAACAAATACGTATATTTAACTGATATCAAATACATTCAAATATTGAGCAAATAAACAATGACAAAGACATCCATGTTAAACCACATTCAAAGCAAAAATGTAAATTGGAAATACTCTCGAATAACTCCTCAACTTGAATGTTCAAACAGTAATATATATAATTCAATTAATTCAAGTAATGATTATTCAAAGAAAAATATTGTACCTGAACATGTGCTCTCGATTTTTATTTAAATGGA